ATTAAATTTTACATAACGGTTGAGCACCATTACGATCATTATCTAATTAATTGAGTGTGCTACTTGAGAACACCCTATATCGTCAGCACAGTCGAATGCATTTTTAGATGTAGGCCTACGCAATTCGTTAATTTCTTTAAAAATTTCTTCAGAATCAGGTCGTTTTTGAAGATCGTGATCCATACATCGCATGGCCAATTTCGCGTAACAATCAGGGGTCTTGGGCGCAAACTGGTCGCAATCCTTTACAAATTCTCATTGCGAGTTTTGTATCAAATTCATGACCATCAAATGGCCGTTGCCCGGTCGAAACTTCAGTCATGATGCCTCCAAATCCATAAATGTCTGCCGCTTGAGTAAATGGGTATCCTTGTAAGACTTCTGGGGTGACATACGGCATAACGTCGTAAATACCACTTTCCGAATCATTTTCACTATATTTCTTAGACATTTCTAGATCTGATATGTAAGGCTTTATACATCTACCATTTACTTTAACATAATTATAATTAGTCTCATATTGTAAAACATTGCCACTGTGAAAGTTCGCATGAATGTATTCAGCATCATGAATTCTTTGTAAATTTAATGCGATCTCAGAAAGAATACGTAATTTAGAATACCATTCAAGGTTGCTAAAGTCCTTCGTTAACAACTTGTGAAGATTCCCTTGCTTGGCATACTGAAATAACATTATGTATTTGTTTGTTTTTGGGCTTTGAGTCAAGCCACATATACATATATCAGGAAATATAACAGGAAAATCATCAGTTAATCTAAGTTGCATATATTTAAAAAATTAGCGTTAGTCCAAAACTCGCTTAATAAACGATTAACGATCCAAACGTGCCTTTTTCAAAAAATCGTGATTTCCCTTATAATAGGTCAAGGTCTTGAGCACAACGGTACTAGATAATATACGAAGTCCTTTATTGCGAATCCTCCTTCGCCAATTTTTTCAATATCTGTTAATCTATCAACCGGAATCCATTCAATCATATTTTCATAACTATTAATTCTAAGTTGAATTCCTTTCACGCAATTATCAACATGTTTATTTCCACTTGTCCATCCCCGTATGCCAAAGGAGTCGCCCAATTCCGTGGATTTTAAGTAATATTTGAACGCAAATCGATAGTTTCGTTTGACCCAGATTCCAATAGCCAATCTGATACACAGCACGTGGGTGATTCATTCTCGCAGATTGTTCATAATATTTAAACGCCTTTTTCTCATCCTTGTCAACTTCGATGCCAAACTCGTAGTAATATCCGAGCCAGTATATGTCCTCGGCGTTGCTCGTCTCCAGGGCCTTCTCACATTCCGCAAAAACGATATTACCGTCAGTTTTTTCACCAGACATTTTTTGAACATGAGAACAAAAAAAAAAAAGGATTTTTTTAGTTTTTTTTTTATGCTAACTATCACATTCTATTACTTATAAAAAAATCAAAATAGATTGTTGATTTTTTATAAGTAATAGCATGTGACAATTAGCATCACGTGGTTGCATCACCCATCATTAGCGTGAACACACATGGCTAGAAACTATGCAGATTGCAGATCAACTATTCAAACTAAATTAGAAATCAGGTTAAAATGAATGAGAGGTTCTATTTGGCCTTCTAAAACCCACTTATACTTGTTTATTATAGGATTTATCCGAAATTAATTTTTCAAGCCCCCCCCCCCCCCATTAGGGGTTTCAAAGTTAACAAATAAGTGGCGCATTTTGAAATTAAATGAGAGTTTGAAGAACCTTGTTTGTTTTTCAAGATTTTAAAATCGGAAATGAAATGGGAGTGTTTGGAGATCCCATTTTATGAAATTGGTAAAAAAAAAATAAAAAATAAAAAGTAAAACTTTCGATTGCCGGATCACTTATTTCAAAATAAATAAATACAGTACCATCAATTTAGATTTATGCGGTTAAACTCCCATTTGTGCCATTTTTGGTTGATTTTACTCAGTTGTAGTGCAAAATCATAAAAGGGAAAATTAAATACTGTAAACACGTGAGACTAGTTTTAAGGTAATAGATTTAAAATTTTTTTGCATAGCTTTTTTCTGTATCATTTGCCTTGTATTTAGTTAGTAATTTTTCTCTGAATGATAGTGTTCTTTTGAGCTACAGATCTCGGTTCAAGACTTCCAATATGGGTCTGAATCCAGGATATTGGATTCAGACCCCCGAAATATAAACTTTGGCTGAATTAATAAAGAATGCAACTCTTTCCGTTCCGACTAAAAACTAACTAAATAAATACGTATCCTACACATAACTATCGTTATAAATAAAACCCATGACTGATGATAACCTTAAAAATCTGTTATACTCTTAATTAAGTGTGTCACTAATCCATATCGTTCTACTTGTACATGGAATTTCGGGCTAATCCTTCCGAATCGATTACATAGGCCAAATACTGGATAGATTGACAACCTTAAATTTTACGCCACATACTTAATTAGTTCACATGACCTCAATATATGGACAATTTTGTGCTCACTGCAGAAGAATATTGCCAATTTACTCACCTTCCTTCACGTTGAAACACAGGTTTATGACTGTAACCCTGTGCTAAATAGACGCCGCTGTGAAAGAGTTCTCCCATAGTTACAACAGAAGACTAATACTGTAGGGAAAATAAAACATCACTTATAAAATTTTATTTTCATTCTTCCATTTTTGGGGATTTTTTAACGCATGTGTTCAAGATTTGATTTTCGATTGCTTATTTCCTTTTTTGATTAATGTTAACGGCAAAAAAATAAACAAAACTCCGGTTATTATGCGCATCATAGTAATAGTAATAGTAATAGATATAAGTGTTACCGCGCATAAATAATCACAAAATTTATACAACTGTATTTTCTGGATTATATTTTACTATATAATGTTCAAACCTATAATACTTCAAGAATATTTGAATAAACTCCTTCCTTTGGTCTTAGGGGCAAAGGAAGCAGACTTAGAAAGTACCTTGTGGTCTACTCCAGGGACTATCGAAAAATTAAGTCTTTTCGCTAATAATTCTCAAGTTAGCGTTTTATATATAACGAAGTCAAAAAAGGGCGACAATAAAGGTGAATTGATAATTTAATGTTTACTTCAATAAACAAATTTTTAGAATTATCTCCTTTCTAATTTTTTATGAGGTCATGTCATAAATTAATATTCTATATTTGAGGTCTAATACTGTACATTTGTTCTAAAAAATACTTTTTTACAGATGATGCATATATTTATACTATCTCGCAGAAAATTGCATATCACCTTAATGATGTTGCATTAATTTCTATCACCAAGATTCATGCTAAATTAGATACTACTTTTCCTATACAATCACAAATTCAAATTTTAAATTTACCTGGTCCAGCAACTATTAGTGAATCTGCATCTGTTAGAGTGAACTCATATGAAGAAGCTATTTACTCTTGTATTCATTATTCTGTTGCGCCATATTACAATGCTTATGTTGCTAATAATGTTCATAATGAAGAAAATAAAAAATTTGATAATAATCATATTGGTAACCTTTTTCATCATTATTAATAATATACGTATTAAAAATTATTTCACTTATATTATAAAAAAATTTCCTTATTTGTAAAAAAAAAGGCGTTCCAATGACAAAAAAGAAGATTAACGAATTAGAGTTATCTTTCCTTCATTTACAGAAAAATGTTAATGTTGAAATTCCATTAATATTTTTGAACATCCACCCGGTTGTTCAAAAGGCTGTCGAAAAGGTTTGTAGGTCTCGATTTTATTCCATGTTTCGTTGTACAATAGAACGATTAATAAATCATTTGTCTTTTTTATTTACTTTTGTTAAAGGGTAAACAAGAAGGCAGACAAGCCACTATTGATTTTATTGATCCAGAGTTACTTAGTGATACTGCATTCCTGAATAAGCTTCAAAGCGATTTAAACAGTTGGATTAAAGAAATCCAAAAAATAACCAATTTAACATATGATCTATCAAGTGGCACAGCTATTCACGAAATAAATTTCTGGCTGAATATGGAAACAGCACTTGAAAGAGTTGATAAGCAGCTTAAAAGTAATCAAATAGGTATGAATACAAGTTAATTTTAATTATACAGTATCAGATATATATAAATAATTACTGTATTTATCCTTTTTTAAATTGTTCTTAGTTTTGACATTTGAGATTCTTAGACATGCCAAGCGTTTTCACGCCACGGTGTCTTTTATGGCCGATACAGGTTTAAAGGATGCAAAAGAAAAAGGTATTACCAATTTACGCATATATTAATATTTAATACTATTTATGATGAATAAATTTAATTCATTCCATCTTTGATATCAGCGCAAAAATATAATCAATTAATGAGAGACTTTCCTCTCGATGAATTACTATATGCTCCCGATGTAGTAAAGATTAAAGAGGCAATAAACGTTATTTTTAACCATTTTATCAAGAAAATGAGATTAAAGTAAGTTTTTTTTTTTTTTATGACTTTATTATTTATTACTCTTCTCGTTGTTGATTGCTTAATTATTCATGGTTCTTAATATTTTAATAGTCCGTATCCAATCAAGAGAGCACTTTACCTTGTTGAGGCCATCTCGCGTGACTTAAATGACGTATTACTGAAAGTTTTAGGTAGTCGTCGTTTGATGTATATGGAATATAACGATTTCGAAAAAATTATGGAAGGTGCTAAGTATGTTTTTGGATCGTGGGATGGTGATATCAAAGAATTTACAAATGTGGCACGTGACGTTATGCGTAAACGTTCAGACAAGTTCATTCCAATTATAATAAACCCTACACATGATAAATTGCAAGAACGTATTACATCCATTTGGAATTTTAGAAAACAGCACGCAGAACTTTATCAAACAATTGTTAATACCATGTCCCAGCCAAAAAATACCAAAAAAATCGGTATCGAAAGGGACAATCAACAAGAAAGCATTAATATAAATAAAATCGATTTTATGGAAGAGATAAAGGTAGCATATGAAAGTGTTAACGATATTGATGTGCTAGATACTTCTGTTGAAGGCACTGAAATCTGGATCCAAGCAGAAAATTCATATAACGAACGTGTTTCAAGAGTAGAAGATAAACTTATTGTAGATCTACGAGATCGATTCGGTAAATGTAAAAATACCAACGAAATGTTTCGCGTGTTTTCAAAGTACAATGCCTTATTTGTTAGACCTAAGGTAAATTTATTCTTTAGAATTGTTCATATTGCTATTTTATAACTACTTGAAATATAGTTATTTTTGTATATTACGAAAAGGTTAATGACTTATCATTTTGTTCGATTACTAGGTTCATGGTGCCATTAAAGAATATCAAAACGAACTTATTGATAGAATTAAAAAAGATATATCCAAGCTTTATGACAGGTTCAACCAACAATATTACAAATCTGAAGCTAATCACATGGCTCAGATCCGTGATCTTCCCACTGTCTCTGGTGCTATGATTTGGGCACGTCAAATTGAAAAACAATTATATACCTATAAAAAACGTATTGAGGATGTTCTTGGTAAAGATTGGGAATTATACGCCGAAGGCCAAAAATTAAAAGTCGAAATTAATAATTTTAAAATGAAATTAGATGCTAGTCCAGTAAATATATGAATGAAACAAACTTTATATAACTTACTTTATTAACAATTTTGTTAACATGTAAATATAAATTTTTATATAGATTTTTGAAGCTTGGATGAGTGAAATTTTTAACCGCAAAGTAAACATGACGGGAAGATTATTTGAAATTACGCGAAATCGTTCTCAAGGAAATATTCTTCAATTAGGTATAAGTTTTGATCCACAAATAATTACTTTATTTAAAGAAGTGCGTAATTTATTATGGTTAGATTATCAAGTTCCATACAATATAACACAAAGTGCAAAAGTTGCCAAGAAAATATATCCTTTCGCTGTAAGTCTTATGGAGACAGTTAAAACTTATGCACAAACAGTACAGAAGATTCAAAAACAACCTGATATTGTCATGTTAGTTGCCAGCTATCGTAATAATGTACAGGCTGTGATTACTAAGGGTATTAATTTTGAATGGAAATACCTTGTGGACGATTATAGTCATACTTTTTTTGATATTTTTGAAGCATCGTATTCGCATAAGAAGCAACATGATGCTTTTATACGGGAATTTGCCAATATTGTTTCAGAATTTCAATATAAGGTTGATTCCTTGATTACTAATTATGAAGATATTTTGCGTTTAATTGAGGACTTAAAAAGATGTGCATATCAGGCGAAAAAATTCAATTCCAATTTGGAAAAAATTCAAAAATTGGTAAGTTAATTTTGATATTGTTCTGTAAACTCTTTAAATAATCACATTGAACTTATAGTATCTTTCTTAATTTATTTTTATTTTTTTTTAGATTAATCGTCTTAATGCTGAATCTTATTCTAATCTTGATGCGTGGGTTGCACAGCTTGATAAACGGATTGATGCTGTTTTGATTCAACGGTTACAACATGCTATATCCGCATGGATAACCGAATTTATTGCATCTGATGACGATTCTACCAATGATATAGAGCCAAATTTTGTTAATAAAATTATAAAAAATGCCAGACGTAGAACTGATAAAATTGATTTTATTAATGATGAAGGACCGATAATGGCAAAAACTGAAAAACCTGTGCTTGTACACACTGTTCACGAAGTGCGTGTTCATAATCGAGTAATTTATCTAGACCCACCAATTGAAGAAGCCAGAATTAAATGGTATAATCAACTACATGAATGGTTGTGTAAGTAAACTCTTTCCTTATCTATCAAGATTTCTCAAATAATCTGATATTAATATTTAAATATTTTTTGTTATATTAGCGGTTGTGTGCAACTTGCCAAGAATTCAAGGTTCACGTAATATTGTTCAACAAGTCAAAAAATCCTCTGTTTCTCGAGAAACTACTTATTCCAATTTATTGGCAAAAATCTTTGATGGTTCACTAGAGAAAGCATATGAAGTCATTGAAACCAAATTAAAAGAAGTATCTGAATACGTTAATAAATGGATCCAATTTCAATCATTATGGTACCTTGAGCCTAATAATATTTATAATCAACTTGGTGATGATCTCAATAAATGGAAACAAATTCTTTCAGCAATAAAGAAATCACGCATTACTTTTGATAATTCAGATATCGAACGTTCCTTTGGTTTTATAGTAGTTGATTATGAACAAGTACAAAGTAAAATTAATGCAAAGTATGATCAATGGCAACTTGATGTTCTTAATAAATTTGCTATCAAGCTTGGTAATTCTATGCGAGAATTTTATTCTAAAATTTCAAATTCTCGTAATGAGCTTGAAAATAAATCAATGGAAAATAATAATACCAATGAAGTAACTGCTTTAATCATTTTAATACAAGATATTAAACATAAGATGTCTAAATGGAACTTGGATGCTGAGATATTTCGTGAAGGTCACAAAATATTAGAACGACAACGATATCAATTTCCAAGTGATTGGGTGCATATTGAACAACTTGAAGGTGAATGGAGTGCTTTTAACGAAATCTTGGACAAAAAGGACAATCAGATTCAAGAACAAATCGGTAATTATTTTTATTAATTCAATTTTTCATGAGTTGAAATATACACGTATAATCTCTTATTTCTATTTTAAATATTTTAAACATTTTAAATATTGTAGATGGATTAATATTAAAAATTAAAAATTTCGTTTCTGATTGGAATAAAAATAAACCAATTGGTAGAGAAATTAAACCTAACATTGCGTTATATAGTCTTTCAATTTTCGAAAACCGTGTCACTTGCCTTAAAGATGAATATGATATTATTTATCGAGTAAAAGAGGCATTGGACATGAATTTAACTATTGAGAATCGTCTAGATTCAATTCTTGAAGAAATTAGAGATCTCAAAGCTGTCTGGAGTTCTCTTTCAAAAATTTGGCAATCAATAAATTTACTAAAAGAAACTCCGTGGTCTTTAGCGGTACCACAAGAAATTCAACAACAATTGAAAAATATTCTTAATTCAATTAAAGAATTACCAAGACGTATACATTCATATTCGGCATTTGGATTTTTAGAAGATACAGTGAAAACCTATATTAAACCAAATCCAATTCTTTACAAACTTAAATCCGAAGCATTAAAAGAACATCATTGGAGAAAATTATTCAAAGTTATTAAACTTGAAAATTGTCACAATTTATCTGAAATGACAGTTGGTCACGTTTTGGATTTTGATCAAATTATAAAAAACATTGTAATTCAGTTCTCTGATGAAGAAAATGAAAATGATCAAATTATAAATAATGCATTGCATAATACAATTCAAGCTTCTGATGAAGTAGCTTTAGAGAAGCATAAAAATGAACAAACTTTAAAAGATGTTGTAGCTCAAAGTTTCGGTGAAATGACTTTGAAAGAACTTTTTATATATCTTTTATCTGATAACAATATGGTTAGATATATTAAGAGAGTTATAATTCATACAATTCATGTCATATTCAATACTAAAGTAGACAGCGCACTGCGAGTGCTTTTGTTCTTTCATATTCTCATCTTAATATTACATTATTACATTATTATATAATTGTAGCTTACTCAACTATTTTATAATTGTTAGTAATGTCATGACATGACATGTATAGTTAATAAGCGTTTAGAATTGGTGCTGGGATAAGATTAAAATTTAGCATTTTACCCGGTATTGCAGAACTCCAGTTAAAATATAATATTAAGCAATGTATCAATTGACAGCGTGTGTTTAAATTTTAGATCTTAATTTGTATTTTCAGACGAGCTTTCAAAAAGTTTCACCGTTTCGTCCACTAGTCATTGAAGGTTTTTTTAAACAAAAATTTATAAGTTTATTAGATCCTCAACACAAAAGATTATGTTGAAAGTTATAAAAAAAACCGCTTTCTAAATGTAATAAAATAATCACGGAAATTATATATATTTTTTATTTAAAAAATTGTCTATGCACAAATTCAGATATTTTTTAAAGTTCGGAAGTTTTCATTGATTTAAATTTACGATATACATGACCAAAGAAGCAGTTGGATATAGGTTTTGGTTTTGATAAATTTTCACTGATCATGAAGCAACGTGCGTTTCTCTTAAATTCATGAATGATATATGCCAATTTTGAAACGACATAAATTAAAAATCGATCAAAACAACTATATCATCTTAGTCTGATTTTTTTTTTAATTTATTTGATCTATCATAATCATACGGAATCCATTCTATCGTAATTATAAATTTGAATTTGAAAGCTTTTCGTAAATGGGTTGTCACTTTATTCCCACTCCTTTACTCCTGCTTATCATTGGATTCGATCATTCTTGAAATAAAAAATCTCGACCTTTAACATAAAATTTTTATCATGTTTTGATATATATCATTGTTTTTAACACAGTGCCATAAAAATAATTGACCTTATAAATTACCGTTGAGGAAATACTTAAACGCTTTATTCTTTTATGAACTTCCTAAAATAATATAATTCCACTACTTGATACCTTTATAAATTAAATTCGCAGCTTGTTGATATATTCGAAAGTTTTATTAATATCTTTAAATTTACGTCAATATAACGACTTCAAACGAGCACGCACAATTTCTAATCGTTTATTTTCTTTGCGAACAAGAAAAAAGAGTATTGGCAAAAGCCATAAATATGAGTATAAATATTTATACATAGATCTCAAACGAAGCATCAAACCACTCATACAATGGTACCGATTTTCATAAATAATTGTATGATGAAAAAAGAGCTTCATTATTAAAATATCAATAATTACAATACGAATACCGCGTACACAAAATGGATTCATAAAAACATTTATGTGAGTTCATTCAAATGCTCAGATTTCCTGATATTGATAAAAAAAATTTATATTCTGTATTTATAAAACTTGCCTGCACATTTTTTTATGTACTACCTATCAGCTATGTGAGTTGGTTTGCTATAAAATAAATTATTATATTACTATAAAAACCTATATCTATATAATTTTATATGAATTAAAAAAGGTTATTTAATTATATTTTTGTTAAGTATCGTAATGCACTGACTAAAGTACCCGTCGTGACAAATAATGTAGATCAATTTTTTAAAATATTATTTATATGTAGCATGTAATGTAAACAATTGTGTACCGTACAGCACTGACTTAAGTACCCGGGATCTTTTACAATCATGCAGATTTGATGGGTACTTTACACGGGGGGATACTTTGGTCCGCGCCCTTTGTACCTGCATAAATTTTACATTGTTGATAAATACCATCCAATCAAAACATATAACAATCGTAACTAACGAATATTAGAAAAAAAATTCTTTTGTTCCGTTACTCGGTTATTTCGCTAAAAGTAACAGTACGAAATTAACAAATATCGTTAGTCAATATTTAATTAATTTTTTTAGGCTACCAAATTATGGATAAATGTTTTTTGTTCCGTTATTTGGTTATTCAGTCATAAGTAACAGTGCGCAAAACAACAGTTTAGGACAAGACAAATATTTCGAATCATCAAAATAAATATTCATGCGCTTTTTTTATTTTTGTCTTTTTTTTTAAATCGCCTAATTATAATAAATGTTTTTTTGTTCTTGATAACAGTGTACAAAGAACGAGTTAGGCTAAAGACAAATACTTTAGATTATAAAATAGTTATAGATTTGTGTTAAACCATCTAATGAACATTTGTTTGTTTTATTATTTCATAATTGTAACAATGTGTACAGTGACAAATATTTTAATAAAGAAATTTTTTAATAGCAATTGAACATTCGCAAGTATTTAATATTTAAAAGGTTGCTTCTTTAATAATTCATTTTGTAAAAAAAAAATGGTTTGTGCAAATCAACCAGCACGACGTTCACGTTTTACACATCATATTCGTTGTCAATGGTCTGCAAAGGAAAAACTTATGGTCATACATTACCTTGAGCAATCTAAAAGTGTATGTGGTACAGCAAGAAAGTTTAATATTCAACCTAAACAAGTTTGTGACTGGAGAAAAATTAAAGACCAACTAATGATGGCTGCTCCACATATTGAGAAATTACATCCTGGAAAAAAAGCCAATTTTCCTGCGCTTGAAGAAGATTTGGCAGCTTGGATAAACTCAAGACCAACGTAATGCAGTAACCCGTATAATGGTTACCCAAAAAGCAAAAAGTTTTGCTCAACAACCTAGATTTCAAATTCTGTATCCAGATATAAGCCAGTTTGGTTTTTCCCATAAATGGCTTGATGCATTTATGTTTCGTTATGATCTTTCAAACAGGCACAGAACTAATATTGCTCAACAGCTTTCCAAGGATCTAATTGAAAAACAACAACGGTTCTTAAGTGCACTTAAACAATATAAAAATAATTACCCATTAAGATTAATTGGTAATATGGACGAAATGCCTATTGCTTTTGACATGCCAGGTGCTGTTACTCTAGATGAACGTGGTGCTAAAACTGTTAGTATTAGAACTACTGGGCATGAAAAATCAAATTTTACCGTGATCTTAGGTTGCCTAGCAGATGGTACAAAATTGCCAGCAACATGTATATTTAAGTTAAAAAATATGCCCCGTCAACAATTTCCTCAAGGTATTCATATCTGCATAAATGAGAAAAGATGATGTAATGAACAAGAAATGATTTGGTGGACAAACAACATATGGCTTGCTCAAAATATGTATAGACGTGAACGTTCACTCTTAGTATTAGATTCTTTCAAAGGTCATATTACCAATTTGGCTAAAAAAAATTATAGTGAAAATATGACTGATATCGCAGTAATACCTGGTGGTTTAACAAGTAAACTTCAACCATTAGATGTTATGATAAACCATTCCTTTAAAGCAAAACTTCATAATCTGTATCTTGAATGGATGACTAATGAAATACATGAATTTACACCTACTGAAAGAATTAAACAACCATCTTACTCTTTGATGGCAACATGGGTAAGAAATGCATGGGATGGTGTTGATATTAATTTAATTAAAAGCTTATTTAGCTGTTGTGGAATTTCTAGTGGTCAAGATTTTAATATAGATCAGCAATATGAAATGGAAAATGAAGATTATGTTGAATTGGAAAATAATATTGAGTTAATAGATCTTACTAACGAAGAAACTGTTTGGGTTGAAATGGAAGATATTGATAATATCTATAGCGAAGAACCTATGGTTGAAAATGATTAGGTATTAGGTTCATAAATTTTTCTCTAGAGTGTTGGAAAAGTTTTAAAATGTTATTTGTACGTAGAAGTGAATTTTTTACAATTCGTAGTACGTACATATGTACGTACATATGATGTATTATTAACCAAGTATAGAATTTAATAAACGGCTATATCCGGGTATTTTAGACAGATCTTTACTATAAATGGTAAGGGGTATTAGACATAGGGGGATACAGCAGAGGTAGGGCCACCGAATTTCTGCTGCGACAAACCCCAAATTCTGCTCAGCCTAGAGGGCGATTTATGCGAAATTATGCGAAAATTTTGTGCCAAATATGCTGTAAATT